TTAAAAACTGCTTAACTTCATTATTTTCATCAGCAACTTAGTACCATTCTAAATTTTCCAGTACTTCGAGGGCAGCTCTATTGGGCACTAGTGTTCCTCTAATTAGCTGAAGTGCTTACCTGCCGTTGACCAGAAGATCGTGCTGTATCCTCTTCACATGTGTCCTGTTTTGCTGGATCATCTCGTAGAGCTTGCTGCGATAATCGTCCACGCTGAGCTGGATATGATCGGGCAGAGGAAGGAGCACATCGTAATTCAGTGCTGGTTCGTCGATTGGCGAGTGGAATTGCAACACATACGGGTGTATCAGGCATTGGTCTACGTTGAGACGTTTATGGGGCGCGAAAATCAACAACCTATAATACGTTTTCTTTCATATTTTCGTCATATAAACGTGAAATCCTGAAGCCTCAGCAGATGTCACTGTATGGGAAGAACAGCGAAACACATGCTTTTTTTCAGAATCCTTTGATAAATCAGCATTCCTTTTCTCACAAAGTTATGGCATTTTGATATCGTCATCTTGATATTATAACTTTATTAACATTTTTAATAATGCTTTCGATACTATTATTATTACTATCATTGTTATCATTATTATTACCATTATTACTATCACTATTATTATCATCATCATTATAATTATCACTATTATTATTATTATTATTGCTAGTTCGTCATTGCCTCTATACTTATTAGAACCTCAAAACATTGGCATATCAGTATTTTGGATGTCGTATACGGTTATAATAACCAGGCGCCTACAACTAGTGGACAACATCTATCTTAAGTGGTACCGGCGAGAAAATCACACGGACAGTCCTTAAAGAGATGGTAATTGGGGGAGGGGGAAGGGGATAGAGGTCAATGAGGAGAAGAGCAACACCTTGCACGGCTATGTTATTATGCAGGATTTATTTATCCCAACAATATTGGTACTTTTGCACTTATGCAAAAGACCTCGTTGTGGCATTGCCATCTGTGAATATCCATGTCTCCAGCTTTCAAACTTCAGGACTACAAAGCTCGTAAGCTGGAAGTTCGCAGACATATTTTCCGACATTGCCATCTGTGAATATCCATGTCTCCAGCTTTCAAACTTCAGGACTACAAAGCTCGTAAGCAGGAAGTTCGCAAACATATTTTCCGACTTTGCTGTGAAATACAGCATTGTGTTTCAAGTCTGATGCCATATCTGCTTTTCACAAGTCGGCTAGGATGTATAAGCTGGCCCTGTGAGATCCATAAGGTGACCTTGAGTTATTGGGACAGCAAAAAATTAATTCAAATAAATTAGTTTTCATAAGAAACGCTGATTGGTGCTAAATGTAGAAAA